TGATGTACAAAATACAAAACCGGCCTCATTTATTCGGCTTTTCCAACAAACAAGTCTTCGCGGTAATGTCGTTCTCTGTATTCGCGGTAATGTCGTTTTTTGTATTCGCGGTAATGTCGCTGTATCACCTAAATAGGATAAAGTTGCCGATAAAGCTTGCAAGGTTTGGTCGTAGCACAAACAACAAACATAGCTGAATAAATTTTTTCGTACCCTTGTAATGTCCGTCGTTATCACTAGGATCTGATTCTAACATATACTTCGAGTTTAATTGTTTATTATTCTTGAACACTGAGGAGAGAACTCCCTCTAGATGTTCGATTACTTATCCTGCAAAGCGTACTGAATTGTCGAAAATTACCTATGATCAAGCATGTTTGGAGGCAAAAGGAAGCCTGAAGCAGTTCCTTCGTTAGTGTGGTGGTGTTTTTCCTCTAAAAGTGAAACATGGCTCTGTTTGTGTTGTGCGTTGCTTTTCGATTCGTATTATCGCCAGAATTTTCATCACCTATCAGAACATTATTGAAACGAGAATACAAGTCTTTGGTAGCTCGAATATCTCTATGTCGCACTAGAGGATAATAAAGATTGTTTCTTTTCTGACTCTGTTTATAAATTTATATAAATGGGATCCGAGTCAACAAATGAAAAACAAGAAAAGCAAGAAGTACGAGTGTGGATGGATGGTTGGTAAGCTATTCAATGCTTCTTTGTAAGAAAAAATAAATGATAGAGGAATTGAATCTTTACATTAGTTTTGATCTAGTTCATTTTGGGCATGCCAACGCATGTCGACAAGCAAAAGCAATGGGAAGTTATTTAATTGTTGGGGTACATTCTGATGGTATGTATTTATTAAACAATTTAATTTAGAAAAAACAATTTTTGGGTTTTGATTGTTTTTCCAGCTGAAATTGCGAAACATAAAGGACCACCTGTATTTACTGAACAAGAACGATATAAACTAGTTCGAGCAATTAAATGGGTTGATGAAGTTGTTGAAAACGCACCATACTTGCCAACAATAGAGACATTAGAAAAATATAATTGTGCATTTTGTGTACATGGTGATGATTTGACAATGTCAACTGATGGTGTTGATCATCTTCACGTTGTTAAAGCAGCTGGACGGTATAGGGACTGTCAGAGAACAGTTGAAATTTCGACAACGAATCTTATTGGACGGTAAGTGTAGTCATCACTGGTGTCCTTGCTTCTGTAGATAGTGAGTAAAGTTTTGCAAGCTCGATGCATTTTAGCTTACTTTACCACTGGCCAAACGTGATTTGATATCAAAGAGACGTCTCCGAGCTCTCACGACATTTTTTCATAGAATTCCATTCGATTTTCAAAAGACTCCATAGATAGTTTGTGTTCATTTCCTATCGGATTTGCTAGTCTGGCAGTCAGAGCATTTCGTAAGTTGCATGCAATTCGACGAAAAAATGCCACGAAAGTTCTGAGATGTGTCTTTTAGTTCTAACGTGTTTACTCTATACGATCGAGCTGTTTGCAAACAGTTACCGATTTAATCATTGACTCGTTTTTTCTAGGATATTAGTTGTCTGGAGCATGGTTTTCAGGAATCTTCGCATATATCTCCACCGATTAGAAACTTCTTCTAGGTTCATGGTTACGGCTGCCGTTAGGGTATAGAAACCGAGCATAAAATGGCATAGATACGGTGCTTTTCCGGTTATATGTGGCAGTAAGAACGCGTAATCGGCTGTAAATCTGTTAGAATCCATGTGCCCGTATTACGCGCCGTATTTCCTGGCGTCGTTTACGGTGACTGCATCTGACTGACTATAAAAAGAGAAAAAAAAGGAAAATATATGGTATGTGCACGGCTTTGAGACGCGGTGGTTAGCATACATATCGATCACTTTCCTTTACCGCGTATACAAAACTTTATAATTGAAAAAGTTTTATATTTTGATATAGAACACGATTATCTACTTACAAAAGAATGAGATTGGTGTATTTTTGAAAACCTATAACTCGGCAACCCTTTTTCTCGGCAATATTTTTTCAAACGGAAAACGCTATTTTGCTCAGAAAAGATTGTAGTTTTTCTGAAGTGTAGAAAATAGAGAATAACTACAACCATCGAATACGTTTTGCCCCGTGCTCCTTGACAATGAATAAGAGATAAACAAAATGGATAAATGTATAACCCTGAAGCACTAACTAGGCTCTGCAAAATAAGACTATGAGTTAGTTAGTTAGTTAGACCCGTTACCGTTTCTGGTGTGGAGTGAGAAACAGAAAAAATGCACAAATAAACACAAAGTGTGTTTATGTGTGTGTTTAAGACTGTGAGATAGAAATACGACACTATTTCTTAGTTTCTGAGCAAAATGCGTCGGTTAATTTAAGTACATCGTCAAGATGTGTTCGACATCTCGTTTTAAACAGACTAGTCTGCCCTACAAATCAGCATCATTGATAACATTTTACTCGCGATTCCTGAAAAATTACTTGTTTAAGGTTTAAGAAACCGTTTTCAAAAATCTTTATAAATCTATGATATAGTAATAAGCAGCATGAAGCCTGACAGTAAGTACTCTGGACTATCGCATATTTATCTTGACCTTTTTGCAAAAAAACTCGTATGTTTGACAAGAGAGAGGCTTTCTTTATTTTTCTTTCTTTTAGAATGTTGCTAATGCCTAAAACACATGATGAGTGTGATAATATATTTCGAGATCGTAAACATACACCATGTAAATCGTCAGTTAGCTCCCGGACATATACACTACAGTCTTTATCTATAATGGATAAAATAAAACAGTTTTCTAATGATCGCAGACCAAATGTATGTTATTGTTTTCTACTCTCCTTTAGTTCCGCTGCATTTGTTATTGTTCTTTTTAGCCAAATGATCGTATTATATATACATGTGGTGCATACGATTTATTTCATGCAGGACACGTTAGTTTTCTTGAAAAAGCAAAGACATTTGGAGATTATTTAATTGTCGGATTATATACAGATAGTGTTAGTATCTCTTTTCAACGTCTTATGCCTGAAAATTGATGGCATGCATTATCTATACTTCTGGTTTTGTTAGGATATTAATCGCTATAAAAGCAATGATCGTCCAGTTATGAACATTCATGAACGTGTACTCAGTGTTTTGGCGTGTCGAGTAAGAAAATCTCCTTTGTTTACTGGATTAGTATTGTCAGTTTGTTGATTCTATGTCTTAGTTTGTTGATGAAGTGGTTATTGGTGCACCATATACTATCACATTGGATCTGATCAGTCATTTCAAAGTCAGCAATTTTTCTTGTCTGTAAGTGGTGAAAAATGCGTTCTGTTTTTTCACTTAATCAATAGGTCGATATAGTGCTTCATGGTCGAAGTGAACGTCAAGTAGATGAAGATGGTCGAAATCCATATGAGGTATGTAGCTGACAGAACATTTCTTAGATAGAGCTGTTTGCCCATCCTAATGTTCACCAGCGTCTTTTCACGCGAGGATTAGATCGGGCTTGAAGATGACAGTTGTGCATCGGGAGTGATATTAAAGGCTGTGGGTGCGAATCTGAGGTGGATCTACCATTTAGCATTTCTGAATTGTCAGACTTTGCCTAGTTATTAGGAATAAATAGTAATATATCATTAAAATAAAGGCTGTTGTGTACTGTTTGCGTGTACTGATACACCATCTTCCTCGAAGTTAATACAAAATCTGGTTCTGAGAACGAATTAAATTTTTGATGAAATCGATCAGAGTGTCAAAATCTCTCTCGGACGTAGAACTTTCATTCTGAATCCTATCCTGTACCAGATAATACAGGTTTCGAGAGTTGTAAACGCTGGTGTGAATAATAAACCTAACATTATTCTCTTTTAAATCGGAAATTCATCATTCAGTGTACTAACCATTTATATCATAGGTGTTTTGCTGCATGTTTCTAAGTGATTAGTTGTGCATAGCAACTCTTTCTATGAATAATCTTTCTAATATATTATGACTTGTACTTTTCGAGAGATCACGATTATTATTCTCTTAAAGAAGTGTTTCTTACATTGCTGAATCGTCTATTTGAATGCCAGTATGGAATTTCTTTTATGGTATACAACTTATTCAGTTGTGGGAAACGTTTTATGAATTTTTCATTAAAAGCTTTTATTTTTGATTTGTATCTCCTGGTATTGATCCTAGGCTCACAGTTCTATCATTAGTACCAAGACGGAGTGCCACTGTCTCTGATCAAGTTTCATTGACTTGTATGTACGCTGAAACGGAAAATTGTACGTTATTTGAAGAAAGTCAGCGTTGCATATATATTAGTAATCATGGCAAATAAAAGGGATGAATGTTTTGCTGACAAATCGGTCTAAAACCGGTGACCGTGAATGAGCCGTTTTTCCACCGACAGAAAACGGTCTAAAAACTGACCGTTATTTGACGTTCTCAAAACGGCCGGTTTACAGTAACGTTAATGGACCGCTCCAGTTCAGCTTCCACCACATTTGAAGTAACTTTTTCTGCAAACTCGGAGACCTGTTTCAAACGAAAATTTGGCCGATTCTGGTCATAAATATTATCCTAAAACATTTTAAAATGGTAGCTTTGCATAGTTAGCTTAAAAGCTTTGGATCAAATTTCAGAAATAGGATAAAATCCAGTATGCTTTATTTAGAAAAACTTTCGTAAATACCAAACGATCAAAGTGACTATTATACATTTGGTGTGCGTCGTATCGGTTAAATCGAAACCGAAATGACTTAACATCGGTTATAACCGAAGAACTTTTATAATGTGCTCAGTTTTGATTGTTACTGTTCTAGTTCTGAAAATCTGGATAAACTGATATCAGAATTGCTGATTTTTTTGGGCAGATGTGAATATAACTTTAGATAGCAGTATTTAAAATATTTCTCGTTTAGAATT